TGTTGGTAGGATTAGATCGATCAGATGTTCTTTTACTTAAAATGTAATATTATATTATCAATTATTATTAGTATTATTATTACATTAATAACATTATGTATCTCATAATTATCATGGATATAAATATTAATAGTATTTTATTAGTAATTATTAATAATTACTATATAGTACTAATAATTATTATTATGTTTCTCTACTTGATTCTGTTTTTGCTGCACGTTTCTTTGACGGAGCAAGTTGACGAATTTGCCAAAATTTGAAAGGCACGCGTTTCAGTTCGGTGTGGAACTTTCATTCAAACTTTCGTTCTAATTTCGTAAGAATAAAAGTCAGACGTTGGAGTTTGGACGAAATTCGTTAAGCAAGGATTGTTCTTCGATCGTAAATCAGAGACGGACGATAAAAAAGTTTTCGACGAAATGACAATTCCGTGGGTCCCAGTCGGCAATGAATTAGCGGTTGACGTCAAAAGTCCGTCGAATTTCACCGGCAGCCTCGTCCTCCGTTTTTTTTATCGAGTCTATCGATCGATGTTCACGCTCCAAAAAATTATTCGGTCACAAGTCAAGAGACAACACCGCCAGAAGGATTTCCCTTTGAAATTGATCAACGTTTCCCCTTACGATGGAATATCGATCGCAGGATTCGATCATTTGTCGTGACAAATTTTAAATCTAGAAGAATTTCAAAGCAAAGAAAAGTATTTACTAATAATATCTGACGGATTAATTCTATTGTATATTAATAGAAAAATTAGAGAAACACTATATTGATAATCGAGAAATAGAAGCAGGATACATAGCCAATACAAAACACTAATCAAGAAACAATAGCTTCAACTTAAAGAAATTTGATAGTTTACATTCTTTTTTGGCGATAATTTAAATCATGATCTTATAATTTTACATTCTAAAATGGAATAAATTTTCATGGCTCTAGGAATTAATAAAAATATTTTATTATTAAATACAACGTAATAAAAAATTCATATTCTACATCAATAAAAAAAAAAAAAAATTCAATGTTTCAAATTTCCTCTGGAACAATTTCAATATTTGAAATTCCTCGCGAAGAGAGTCAATCTGAACAGAGGTTTGTCATCTCTCGATCTGTTTTATTATCGGCTATGAAGAACAAGACCATTCTACTGTACTGACTCTTATCATTACTCTGTTTTTCTGTCTATGATCTAGTCTACTGCTCTAGTTTATACCTAACCTAATCTGTCCCCCTTGCTGCGAGCAACAAGCGCAAAAGGGAGAGAACGGGATAAGAAAAAAAGTCACGTTGCTCTCTCTGGGGGACTGTTTTTCGCTCTGCTAGTTGCGCGCCATTGTTTTCCACGCTGAAACGTGAAATTTTAAATATTCTTCGCAGTGGCTGAAGCTATCCTGCTGAATACCGAACTCGGACGTGGTCGAATTTCCTCTTCAGTTGAAAATTATTGCTTGAGTGGACATTACAAAATGTTTGAATAGAAACGAGCGTTGTTGCTTCATTCGTGACTGCTCAAACGGAATACTTATTCCTCGGTGGCGTCGTCTGACTATTCAACGTCTGTATCTACTTAATCGCGTTTCTTCTGTGTTTGAAGATTTTCAGTGATTTTATGACATTGAATCTTTTACACTGTTTTGAACGCCTAATGGATGATTAAACTTTTATTATTTCGACTTTCTTAATTATTGTAATTTAGTTGTTGTAACTTGTAGCATTAGTTATTAATTAGCAAACAATATAACTTTATTCTACAAAAGAAAATATAACTTCTTTGCAAAAATATAAATTTGCATGAATCTTTAGTGCAATGATTGATGATGTAATGAGCGAATGGATCAATGATTAATCGATTATGATTAATGCTTATTGCATTTTCTATGATCATATTCTAAATATAATACGTTGTTTGTTAGAATATTCAGAATCTAATAATCATTTTACAAAACTATTGTTCTGTATTAAAAATATCATGTAGATACAATATAGAATATACTAAAAACAGATTATTCAAGTTTAAGTTTATAATACAGCAATTTTACTAAAAAAAAAAAGAAAAAATAAATTTTAGAAAGAGAATTTAATGAACCAAGTTCTTAAAAAATTGACGATCACGTTCGATAGTTGAGCACAAGTATCAACAGATACCGAGAACGGTGTTGACCGTCAATTTGAGATGTTCAGTGCCCGACGGAGTTGCAGTTGAAGTTTCAGAAGGCTCGTAGGCTTTTGACAACTTCTGGAAGGTGTCCGTGGCAGGAATCGAGCACGTCAATTGCAATATGTCCGTTCGAATTAAGGGAATCGTACGACCGAGCAGAATTTCTCCACCATTTCGGTATCTGCAATCATCGATTTACGATGACTTTGACACTTCCTTGTCCGGCTTGTCGAGCTGTTAATCACGAAGATGTGTCCAGTAATTCAAGTTACTGTCATTTGAAGTGAAAAGGGATTTTGGGAACGACATATACGAGAACTTAAATTTTATTATTAGTGCAGCAGGTGATTTTGTTTATTCGAGATGCGATTATACCATTATTTTCCTAAAATCCATATCACTCAATCTAATAATTTAACGAGATACAATAATTAAACAAATATTTAAAGTCACCACGAATATTTTCAATTCAATATTCAAAATTCAAATAGTCCATGTAGCAAAGCTACATGTGCCAAACCAATAATCAAACAACTCATCATTCGTGACCCAAAATTTGTAAAATAGAGAAAGATAAATACACCGCATGAAAGTTATGTAGCTAAAAAATTGAAAGGAAAGTGTTAAAGATATTTTCTCGAATTATAATTTTCTCACACTTCATGTTTAGTACGACAACAATTAATTAATGCTACAATAATATTCAAACTGACTATAATTTCAATTTTTTACCATTCAGAAAGTTGAAAACTCAAAAAAGGGAAGGAGGAGCATATAAAAATTACTAATCAAAAGTCTCGAGTTCTACTATTAAAATTTCCTTGAAATTATTACACAAAACTTACTGCTTAATGTAACACACTATTCACACTGACTATACCTTCAATACACTCAAGATTTAAAATTTAAAGAAGAACTACACGAAAGTTACCTAGCTATCAAAAAAAAAAAAAAAAAAAAAAAAAAGAAAAGAAAGAAGGAAAGCGTTAATATCATATCGTTACAAATTATTCGTAACAAAACTTTCAGTATTTCAATTCATATAAATTCAACAAGGCTCAAAAAAGTCCAACACTCGAACGAAGAAATCCTTGACTGAAAAGTCGCGCTGCCATAAAAAGAAACGTATCCGCTGAAACGCACGAAAGACAGGGGAATTGTTCGCGGAGGAGGCCGAAACTCCGCGGGGACGTTTGAACAGCCATCACGACAATATTGCCGCGCGCGCCACAATGGAAGAAGCCATTGACATTCTTGGCCCCATTGTTTCCTCGGCGAACAAGTGGCTGTGTATCTAGCTGTCTCGGTAGAAGTTACTTAGCAAGTAGAATAGATCATCAGAGTGTAAGAGAGAAACAGTGAGACAAAATCAGAGAGAGAGAAAGAGAGAGAGAGAGAGGGAGGGTGAGGTGTTTCGCATGTTTTCATTGTTGCAAGCTAGGAAACAATACTGAATGGTTGTCACCGACTGCCAACTATGGTTGTTGCGTGTGCATCCGTGGTTAACGATGCTGAAACGCTGTATCATAGAGAAACGAACGCCACTGTGTTCGGGGAAGCAACTTGTAAACGAGCGATTACGCGTGTTCTTGTCGCGATGACCGATTCGATGTTCCAGTACTCTAGTCTAATAGCCAAGTGGTTGTATAGCCCGGTGTTATGGTCCCGGGCTGTACGATTACGAGTTTCGAACTTACACTTGGCTTGAACATTTGTCTCAGAGAGATAATCGAGTCGTTTATTTTGACGGTGGCGTAAGTACACTTTGCAGTAACGAAAAAATAGCGATTCCTTGACGTCTGTGCGAAATCAGTTATACCGAGAAAGATACAAGTATCACTAAAATTCTGATTAGCCCCATCTATGTGACACGTAAGTCTTATTATCTAAAAAATGAATTTTTGATTTCTGAAAGAAGAAATCAAAATAATTAACTTTAAGGTCTGAACAAGCTCCCAAAAAACATGACATCCATGAAAGAAAAGAATTGAATAGAGAATTAAATTTTCGTTTAGACAAATGCAAAAAATTCTTTCTCATTCGCGGATTGTCCCCCTAGAAAATCAAATTGCCCCCTGGGGACGTTGGGAACCTTAGAGGGGAAGAAGTATCAATAAGATTAGAGTGCAAACTCCGATTAACTTTGGTAAGGAAAGGATCTTTTTAAATTCCTATCAGCTCTGAAACATAGCCGCCGACTTCGAAGACTCTCGTCCGCGACGTGGACTATATGGACTATATCCTCGAGAGTCCAACTCAATTGGTAACTTATCGTGGGCCTCATACGTCAACTCTCTCGGTACCAGTGATAAAGATAGTATTGGTCATACCTTTCGCAAACAAGTCTGCTTTTCAGGAGGTCCTTGCAAACCTCGGCCTGGATAGGACCAATACGTGGGATTGTCACTCGCCAAAGACTCGCGTCTCTCTGCGGAGACACAAATAAATCTCGAAAGTTAACATAATTTTCGTTGACACGCAAATATAACACTTGAAATACTTCTGGATTTAAAAACAAAGTGGTTTACACTACTCTGAAAATAAACGGCTAGTGATTGTGGATAAATGTCTTCTGTTGTTATATTCATTTTACGAGATGGACTTTTTGGTATAAATAATAAGATAGGATGTTACATAACGATCATACACAAGAAGTAGTTAATATTAAAACAAATAAAATGATCAGAATAATTAATTTACGATTTTTCGTTTAAGTTTCATGAATTCACGTTTTCCATGGTTCCGATAGTTTTCACGAACATGCATTTTCTCAATACGAATTTTATACTTTAATCGTCGTATACTGGTTTTAGAAAGGAAGCGAATAATACTTGAAAATAATATGAAAGGAAGAGGTTTTACACTTCATGGTGAATTTTACGAGGGAAGCTAAAATACTAAATCGTTTCGGAAACACCACTAAAATCCAGGAACCATACAAATTCACGCAGAACTGTACAAGAAAAATGAAAAAAGAAAACGAATTCTGTTTCGATACAAGTTACTGTTTCACGGAGTATTTCCCAACGGAAATAAAAAAGCAAAAATACACAGAATTTTACGAACGAGAGCTGAAATAATCGAACCGTTTCGAAAATGTCAGTAAAATCCAGAAGAGCCAAATTCCACTTTACAAATTCCTCGGCATATCTCATCTTCAAGACAGCCTAAATCTTATTCCACGTTCCTCTTCGCGAGACGTGGCGCCTGCAGGCTTGCGAGCAAAGGCTTTGCGAGAATGCCGCGATGCCTAGAAAGAGAGAGAGAGAGAGAGAGAGAGAGAGAGAGGAGACTAATTACAAAGGTATCTCACGGAGACTCGGAGGAAGGAAACCGGAAACGCGGGCCACTTGCGCGTTTTTCGCCTGGATCCATCAGTCACGGGCCGTACTCTCGGCGACGTTATTCTCGTGGAGGACGTGACCGGTTTCCCTGAGACTTTGCCACTTTGCGAGAAGCCGGAGAATAATGGTTTCGGCTCGAGGAATCAGCACTGCTGGTAAATAACATTCTCTGGCCTGTCCAATTAATTACGTTGCTTGCAATATTGCTCGACGCAATACTCGACTCGGTGTAAATCTTCCTTCTGAACGAGAGGGGGGGAGGAAGGGGAGAAGAGGGTTATTGATCGTACTTTTGTTTCGCTTCATCGTTGAACCTTTTTCAAGAGGTGGGGGTGAAAATTGATGGACATTCGTCATGTTGAGGTTGAGCTTCGATTGGCGCAGTCTCGTCACTATAGGAATTTCTCGTGGCTTTTATTACGCGAAGCGAGATTGATGATGACGAACGATGTCATTTTAGGTTTGTGGTGAAGCTGTAAAATTTGTTTGGTTGGTATTTGATTTCTTTTTTTTTGTTAAATTCTTTATGTTTCTTTTTTCTTTTTCTTTTTCTTGGAATATTCGTCTCAGAGCAAATGATTTTTTAACCACGAATTTACTTTGGTTTCATTCAGTTATTTCGTTTTCATTAATTCAGAGTTAATCAAGTTCAAAGTTGTACAATCGAGTAGGCAAAATCGATAATCGATTTAAATTTCAAATTGACTTTGAACTTTAAATAATTATTTGCTGCACGTTCGCTAAAAATTGAGAAGCAGGAACTTTCATTAATTGTTGATTTACTACTTCATTATTCAACAGTATTTACTGGTGTACTTTTGAAGGAATTTCAAATTGACTTCGGACTTCAAATAATTGTTCACTGCATCGTTCATTGAAAATTGGAAAGCAGGAATTTTCATTAATTGCTGACTTGACTGCTTTGTTATTCGACAGTATTTACTGGTGTACATCTGAAGGAATTTCTTCGGGGAGGGAATTTCGCTAAAATTCTGCCGGTTGCAGACTCATTAATCTTTCTCTCATAGAGCATTCTATGAAATTCATCTATTCTTGGCTCTACCAGTGGCCTTCCATTAACCTTGCGTTTGTCAGTTCTTTCGTCGAGCAGCCCCTCGCGAATTTCTAGACTCGTTCGTCATTTCTTAAACACTGACTTTGCCGACGTAAATCTTTTCTTCAGCTGTAGATTAATGTTCCGTTGGTGCCGAACATTCTAATACTCGTTTCTTATTCGTGAGTTTTCACTAATAAAAACTTCTCTCAAAATCATAATTAATTATCTGCTCTTTGATACTTACAGCCAAAGTTATTGCTCCTCTTTTTCTTAAAAGATCTTGTTAATAAATAATTTTTCGTTTGAAAAGAATGAAGTTCATTTAGTTCAAGAAAATAAAACAGTGAAAGAGAGGATGTAAAAGTAATAGTGATGCTGGAGAAAACATATACGTTGGGTACGATAACAAATATAATTCTGCATGTAGTCATTCTAATCTGTAATTCATATAATATTTTAGACGAATTAAGTAAGATTTGTGTTATAATGTTAATATATATGTATATACTTCTTAATAGTTCTTTTTTTAACTTCATTAATTTACTAGCTTTTTTTAAAGAAGCGCTCTCCACACATTCCTTTTATCTTCAATCACTTACGTGACCTACTGAAATGCTACTTTTTAATCACAAAGTGACGCTAAAATCAGAAAATCAGCAAAAATCTACTTGTCAGGTTTCCGTTCTGTGATGTTCAATTATAGAACGTAGATCCGTGGAGAACGTTCCTTCTTGCACTTTGCGGATTGTCAAGCGTTCGCAATCCGCGGTGATCAGCCAGGCAAAAAGAAAAAACGGAGCAGACGGTGTGTCAACTCCTTCAGTCATTTTTTATTAAATTCTGAGCTTTCGTGGTACAGTGTCAGTGGAAATTTTCCGCCGAACAGAATCGTGAGCTGTGCTGTTCTAATGTAGACTCGAGGGGTCTGGCTGTTTCTTTGGAATTTTTTTTATCGAAACTGTTTCAGCTTCGGGCATTTTAAAGACAATGTCTGACATCTTTTGTCACAGTAGGTTAGGGTATTATTTCAATAGAATAATTACTTGAGTAATACACCATTTCACTAAATGTTATTTGAAATTAATTTTGCGTCAGTTTATTTGAAGGAATGATATTTCATTATGGTAAATTCTAAAGTAAATTCAAAGAATAATGTTTGTTCCTTAATTATTATTTCCCTAGCATTATTCCATTATGATCATAATCATCTCTCGTTATAATAAAATTTCGAACAAAAGAACAGAAGAAAATTTATATGACACACGTAATATATATATATATATATATATATATATATATATATATATATATATA